GGTAGGGTGCCGTTTTCTTCTTTCTCCATGGTGAAAACGATGAGGCTGGGGAATAGGCTGTTTAGATGTTTTAAAATCGGTGTTTCAGTTCCATTTTTACAGAGAACAAATATGTCATCAACATACCTTTCGAAAAAGGTTGGATAGGCATTTTTGTCACCCGTAGTGAAGGCCAAGTGTTCTAGATGTTCCATAAATATATCAGCCACGGCAGGGTACAGAGGCGATTCAATAGGGATTCCTTTGTACTGACGATAAAGTTGGCCACTGAACTGAAAGTAATTGAAAGCAATGAGACATATCCTGAGCAGCTTAAGAATCGAAACTGTGGAGAAAGATGTTCTGTTCTTAAGGTTGAGGTCTTTTGACAGTTATTCTTCGACTAGGTCAATTACGATTTCGACAGGGATGCTGATGAAGAGGTCCTTTACGTCGTAGCTCACCATAATTTCAGCGCTCATTCGTGGGACAATCTCTTCGACGAACTTCTCTAAATTTCTTGCATATGATTTCAACTTACCCGTGTACCCCCCACTAAGCAGGCGTGCAACCAAAGCCGAAATGCAAAATGATGATTAACAATAGGTTGCATAGAAATATTCGGCTTGTGGATCTCTGGTAAGCAATACAGTTCAGGAGGAGACCAATCGCATTTGTAAAGAAGTTTCAATAATATACCTTTTGCTTGGAGAGCACACATTTCATTCTTCTTTTCCATTGTTGTTATTACTTTTTTTCAGGGACTCTATCAACCGCTTTATTGGATCTTCATCTAGCAGGCCATAGCCGTTGTTAAACAGTTCTGCGCAGTTAGATATTTCTCTTTATCCATAGCCATGGTTGAGTTTCCTTTATCTATTTTCATAATGACTGTTGTCATCCTTTGCCAGTTGTTTCAGGGCAGTTTGTTCAGACTTAGATTGGATCCAGTTGTCTGAAATTTTCTAAACTTCGGCAACAGCTAATTTGGCAAATTCCCGGATGGCCGTCTGGTGATTTATCAGATATGCTAGTTCAGTCGATGTCACAATTTTGGGAACTGGCACTTTATGTGGAGCAGGGGAGAACGGACTTTTTGATCTTCTGTCAAGTTCCTGCTGCTCAAGTTCACTACCTGGTTGTTTGAAAACAATTTTCGATGCGAATTCCAAAATTCAGAGTACTTTTTTAACATCAAGGTGTCGAATTAATTTCGCAAAGTTTGAGATTTTTCGAACCTTCGTAATTCGACCATGAGTTGGCAGTGGCGAACTATCTCCTGGAATTCCGAACCTCGTAGAGAATCCGACAACTCTTGCAGCAATATCTCCATATTTGAAATTATGTCCGACAATCTGAATCTATGATATGAGATCCGTTTTCGTACAAACTTCTCA